AAGCAGGTGGTGAGAAGGTGGAGGTGAGTGGGTCCCGGGGTGGGGAGGATGGGGGAGGGAGTGGGGCGCGCCAGGAGCAGGCCCCAGCGAGGCCTTTCCTCTCCGCAGACCGAGTACGCACAGCTGGAGAACGGGCGCTTCGTGTACCGCATCCACCCGCTCGCCCATGTGTGAGTACATGATCAACTTCATCCACAAGCTGAAGCACCTGCCCGAGAAGTACATGATGAACAGCGTCCTGGAGAACTTCACCATCCTGCAGGTGAGCGGTGCAGGTGTGGGCTCGCGGGTCTCCGGGAGGCCGGACCCAGTGCTCAGAGAAAGAGACTGAGCCCCTAGGGGAGCAGGGGCTGCTCAGCCCACACACCCAGGCCCTGCGCTGCCTGACTTCCTGAATCCTCCTGCCCGGCCCCAGGTGGTCACCAGCCGCGACTCCCAGGAGACCCTGCTCGTCATTGCTTTTGTCTTCGAAGTCTCCACCAGCGAGCACGGGGCCCAGCACCACGTCTACAAGCTCGTCAAAGACTAGGGTGCCCTCTGCCCCACCACCAGGATCCAGGACGAGCCTCTTCTCACACACCTGCCTGGCACCCAGGGGTCCAGGATTGAGGACTCATCTGCCTGCCAGGCCTCGGGCCCAGGGCCAGGAGGCCTCCCCACCTGCTCCAGCACACACCCCCTGCCACTGTTCTGCGCTTTAACTGTGGGAGAAGGGAGGGGGCTCAGCGGTGGGGCAGCCTGGCTGGGTCGCCAAGCCACCATCACTTCGGTCTGCCCAGCCTCACTGAATGGGAGGACACCTTTGGCTCAGGTGTGTGTGGCCACTGGCCCCTCAGGGCTGTGACAGGTGGGTGATGGAGACTGGAGGGGCGGCGGAGTGCAGAGGCCAGGAAGGAGTGTGGAGCTGGGGTTGCTCTGAGAAGAGAGAGGCCCACACTGTCTTTGCACCTGCCATGTGCCAGGCCCCAGTGCCTCCTGCCATCCTCTGACCGGCAAAGCAATCATGGGTCTCGGTGTCACAGATGAGGAGTCTAGGGGGAGGGATCGGGGCAGAGTTGGAGTTCTCACCGGGGCTGCCTGTCCGGAGCCTCGTTTACACACCTCCCTGCCTCGGACCGGCCCCAGGCTGGGGAGGGGCTCTACACTGAGGGGCGGGGTTGGAGCCCCTGACACGGGGAGCAGCTGCCTCTGACCAGCAGGGAAGGGGAGCAGCAGGTACTCAGCACCTGTTGGGCGCCCTCTGTCAGCCCAGCATCCAGCCAGGGCCCCGGGAGGGAGCCTCCTGCGCCACTTCCCCTACGCTGCCCTGGCCCAGATCCTTTGCCAGGCTCCCCAGCAGCCGCCTGACGGGGAAGGCCCCCAGGGGCAGGCCCAGGCTCAGAAGCAGGCTGGAGGGTCAGGTAGGAAGATGCCAGCCCCTGGGCAGATCTGTGGCCCGGGCACGAGAGGCCACACAGGCTTCGGTATTTTCTCTTGCCCAAGTGAACCCTCAGCGGTGCCACTACCTTGCTCTTCCCGGTGCCAGTCTCCCTGCCTGGAGCAGCTCCCCAGACCTCGTTCTGGGACTGAAGGTGAACCCTGCCCACTGCCTCTTCCCACCATCCGGCCCCTCAGCGCCCGGCCTCCGGGCATCGATGAGTTTCATATGAAGTACTGTGCCCTGCCCTGCCCTGCCCTGCCCCCCACCCCTGAGCTTCCTGAAGGTCCTCACAGTTTGCATATCGCTCAGGCCACCTCCAAACCCAACCTAGGTTTTATAATGTATATTATATATATTTTTGTGTATTTTTTAAATCCAGCTGTGATGGGTTATATCATAAACGTGGCACAGGGCTGGGGCAGGCGCCCTCAAGGCCTACTCAGAAAGAGAAATTAAAGTTATTTGTTTGTGGGTTAGTCGTGTGACCAGTTGTGTGCCAGGCCTCTGGGTTGGAACAGCTTCAGGGGGGCTCTCCCTGGTTATGTCCTGGTGTGTCCCCTCCCCCCATCTTTTCTGGGGGCCCCCAAGCCCTACCCTCAGTCTAAAGAGGTGTGATTCTGGGGTCCCATGAACGCTTTCCAGCTTCAACCTTTCTCCATATCCACACCCCTCCTGCCGTGGGTTGCACACTGAACTGAGCCCAGCCTGCCCTGAGGTTTCCTGTTGCGCTCTCTCTCTCTCTCTCTCTCTCTCTCTCTCTCACACACACACACACACACACACACACAGAGAAAAGCCATTTATTTTGTCTTATGATCCTAGACAAAATAAATTCAAGCTAAAGACTGCCTATGGCACTTTTCTGCTTTGGGGGACCAGTTTTTATTATTACTAGAGGCCCAATGCATGAAATTCGTGCAAGGGTAGGCCCTCGCAGCCCCAGCTTCATCCGGAAGGTCGGACGGTCGTTCTGCTGTCCAGTCTAATTAGCATATTAGCTATTTATTATATAGGATGATTATTATTATTATTACTGAGTTTTAGAGATACAGAAAGGGGGGAGAGAGAAACATCGATGTGAAAGTGAAATGGATGGAATAGCTTTGTCGCTAAGTGACATGACTTGCCCAAGGTCACACACCTGCTGAGATGGGCCGCCTGCTAAATCCCCACGGTCTTCACAGTGTCTGCTGCTGTTCTCACCAGCCTGCCCTCACTTTACTCCCGAGGAAAGAGCCTCAAGGCGGGTGAGTGCTCTCCGCAGTGGATAGCTGCCAGCGGGGCAGGCCAGACCAAGCTGCCCCTGTCCGCCCGCCCGGGGAAGCTCACAGCAGGGATGCAGCGTGGCCATGGGGTGGCCGTACCCTCGGTGGACATGCATTGTTTATCTGAAATTCAGATTTAACTGGGCACCCTGCATTTTCTTTTTTAATTATTTTATTGATTTTACAGAGAGGAAGGGAGAGAGAGTTAGAAGCATCGATGAGAGAGAGTCAGCTGCCTCCTGCACGCCCCCTACTGGGGATTGTGTGCGCAACCAAGGTACATTACCCCTGACCAGAATCGAACCTGGGACCCTTCAGTCCGAGGGCGGATGCTCTGTCCACTGAGCCAAACCGGTTAGGGTGGCATCCTGTATTTTCATTTGCTAAATCTGCCAACCCTACTCCAGAATCTAGAGTCTTCTAGATCGTTCTGGTCCAACTTCAACTTTGCAGATGGGAAGCAGACTGAGGCACCTCTCCTCACTCAGCCAGTCAGGGGCAACGCCAGGATGCGAACTGCTCTGCCTGCCCCAAGCCCCTGCCCCTGGTGCACTACTTCAATGATCAGGTGGCCTCTGTCTTGGTCACCGCACTGGAGGGACTTCAGACTGTCACTAGTAGCATCTGGAGCTCCCACCAGGTGGGAGGGGGTTCTGGAGGCAGAAATTGGCTTATGGAGGACCCTGGGGCTGGATGAAAAATCTAATCTCTGCACTAATAAGTAATGACATCGCCCGCTCAGTAGTTAGAGCATTGGCTTGTGCACTGGAGGGTCTGGGGTTCGATTCCTGGTCGGGGCATGTATGGGAGGCAACCAATCAATATGTCTCTGTCACATCAATGTTTCTCTCCCCTCCTTTTTCTCTCCCCTCTCCCTTTCACTCTCTAGAATCAATGGAAAAAATACACTCACTCCTCAAGTGAGGATTTTAAAAAAAGTGATGACACCTATTGAGTGATTGAAGTGTCATCACAAGGGTTGTTGCCTTCACTACTCTCCTGGAGCAATCAGCCTTCGGTAACTGCTTTAAGAACAATGTAGGTCTCTCATGCAGAAAATTCAAGGAGTGCAATTGACCAGCCTCCTTGCTTTCTCTCTCTCTCTTTTTAAAATATATATTTTATTTATTTTAGAGAGGAAGGGAGAAGGAGAGATAGAAACATCCATGATGAGAGAGAATCATTGATTGGCTGCCTCCTGCACGCCCCCTACTGGGGATCGAGCCCATAACCCAGGCATGTGCCCTCGAGCAGAATCAAACCCGGGACCCTTTAGTCTGCAGGCCAACACTCTATCCACTGAGCCAAACCAGCTAGGGCGCTTTCTCTCTTTTCTTTACCGCCTGCCCCCAACCACAAATGTAAAATGAAGTGGTGATGACTCACTGTGAGGTTACAGAATAGGGAAGGAACCAGGATAAGGTGGGTATTGCCCTGGCCCAGTAGCTCAGTCGGTTGGAGCGTTGTCCTGATAGGTCAGAGTTGTGGGCTCCATCCCTGGCAGGGAACATACAGGAAGCAACCAATGAATGCATAAGTGGAACAACAAATGGGTGTTTATTTCCTCTCTACTTCTCTCTCTAAATTCAACAAATAAAAATTATATATATAAAGAAGGTGTGTCTTGGGAGCCCAAAGCCCAGGCTCTGGCAATGGCTCTCCTGTCAGGGTCTGTGGGAAGCTGTACAGAAGGGTCAACAAAGCTGGAGCCCAAAGAAGGAGCCTGTAGTCCTGTCTTTCCTGCCCCTCTGTTTCTGTTCTGATGTTTCTGGGGAAAAGGGAGGGTGCCATCTTTTCATCAATTCCACAGTCAAAGCCAGAGCACTGCCCTGGGGGTTCATGAGGGCTCCTCATTTCCCTGCACACAACTGCTAGAAAACGGGCTCCCCAGGTATCTGAGCCCGGAATTATAACTCAGGTGCACACTGAGCTTTGCACTAATCATTCTGGAGGCTGGGATTTGATGAAATAGCGCAACCCTCATTTACAATAGACTCTGTCTTCCCCCCCCTCCCCCCCGCCCCGCCCAGGCCCCCCCGCCCCCAGATGCTGTGGGCCTCTGAGAGCAGCCTTTGTGTCTCTAAACAGATTCCCCAGAGCCCAGCTGAAGGTGGTGAGTGTGTCTAGTGTAGAGTTGGGTTTTAAGGACTCCTACAAAGTGGAGTAGGTTTGACTTAAATTCAGGTTCAGATCAATGAGGAAGATTCAAGTTCCCAAGTAGTTCTAAAACATACCCATTTACCTTGCCTTAGAGTTTCCAAAACTTCTTTAAAAACAAAACTAAACTAAACTCCACTTACCATCTTCCAACTTTTATATATTAGTTGCCAGGTGTTTTATTTATTTTTTTAAAAAACATACAGTGGGGCCTTGACTTACGAGTTTAATTCGTTCCGAGACCGAGCTCGTTAAGGAGCTCGTTAACTCAAATTACTCTATCAACTCAATGCAAAAAATCGGCCAAGAGACAGCTGGTATCTCAAAAAACTCGTTAGTTGGGACACTCGTAAGTCAAGGCACCACTGTATTTTATTGATTTTTTACAGAGAGGAAGGGAGAGGGATAGAGAGTTAGAAACATCGATCATCTGCCTCCTGCACACTCCCTACTGGGTATGTGCCTGCAACCAAGGTACATACCCTTGACCGGAATCGAACCTGGGACCCTTGAGTCCAAAGGCCAACGCTCTATCTACTGAGCCAAACCGGTTAGGGCGTTTCCAAAACTTAAGAATTTTACTCCTTGGCTCATTGAGACAGGAGGTGTCATGGATTTTTCTCCCCGTTCATCAGCACGGATGTCCTCCATTCAATCTGTCCTAAACCGGACTGGCATTGTGGACCAGGTCCAGTAACTTTACGTATGTGGTTGTACAGAATTACCATTTTTCAGTGCTCATTTTATTTTAATATATTTTATTGGTTTTTTACAGAGAGGAAGGGAGAGGGATAGTCAGAAACATCGATGAGAGAGAAACATCGATCAGCTGCCTCCTGCACACCCCCCACTGGGGATATGCCCGCAACCAAGGTACATGCCCTTGACCGGAATCGAACCTGGGACCCTTCAGTCCGCAGGCCGACGCTCTATCCACTGAGCCAAACCAGTTAGGGCTCAGTGCTCATTTTAATTGAGTACTAAGTGCCTGGCACTGTGCAAAGCACGTAATGCTTTTTAACATATATATATATATGTAATTTTTTTTAATTGATTTCAGAGAGGAAGGAAGAGGGAGAGATGAGAGAGAATTATTGGTTGGATGCCTCCTGCACGTCCCCTACTGAGGATCAAGCCCGAAACCCAGGTATGTGCCCTTGACTGGAATCAAACCTAGGACCCTTCAGTCTGCAGGTTGACACTCTATCCACTGAGCCAAACCAGCTAGGGCCATAATGCTTTTAAGTTTACTCTCTTTCATGTGGGTACCATCATCACCTGCACTTCCAAATAGAAAGCAAGAGTTTTAGAGACATTAACAGACTTGCTCAACAGGCTCCCCTGGCTCCCAAGTGCAGGGCTGAGGAGTCAAACTCAGGCAGTGGGGGACCTTGGGCCCCACAGGCAATTAATGACATGGCTGGTCTCGCATCCAGCAGGTTGAGCATACATCCGAGGTCACGAGAAACCTCTGAAACCTTGGCTCAGGATGCCTGCTCATGACAGGACACTGCAGATACAGATGTCTTTCTGGTCTTGGACTCATAGAGGTGGGCTGCACTGGGTGCCCATCAAGGAGCCCACCTGTTTGCTCTATGCCTTTGCCTCATGGCTCTATTTTCTCTTAATTGTACCCAGTGTCTTATAAGCAGCTTTGTGGCAGGGACAAGGCATCCTACATAATAAAAGTGTAGTATGCAAATTGTCCCCTCAACTGGCAGTTTGTCCAGGAGTTCAACCAGGGGGCAGGGCCGGCCTGGGGAAGTGGGGGAGGCCTGGGGAAGTGGGGGAGTACCCGGCCGGCAGCCAGCAGCTGCTAGGGACCTGACCAGTGCACGAATTTCGTGCACTGGGCCTCTAGTAAAATATACTCACTTGTAAGTTACTATATTACATTCCTCTAGTTACTAAATCACAAATTTTGTCGCCCTATTTTTTAAGAAATATTTTTTAAGGGAGAGGGATAGAAACATTAATACAAAACACTGCTGGGCTGCCTCTTGCATGCCCCCTACTGGGGATTGAGCCCACAACTGGATGTGCCCTGACCAGGGATTGAACCAGTGACCTCCTGATGTATGCATGGGTCGTATGCATGGGTCGATGCTAAACCACTGAGCCAGACCAGCTGGGCTGCCTTTTTTTCTTGATTACAAAGATTACAGAAATTCAGAAATTCCCCCAAACCATTTAACTCTGAGTTAAACATAGTCAAATTTTATGTAAGCTTCCAATAATTTTTACTATGCATAAACACTTCAATAAAATTGGGCCCTAATTTTATAGCCAGCTTTCCCCCTCCTTAGGTAAGGGAACATTGTTAAACAAGCCTATTTTATTACTCCTAATACTCTAATAGACCAGAGAAAAGAGCAAGCTAGGCCTACCTTGAGAACCAAAACTCATCCAATCAGTGCAGCTACTTTACCCGCAAATTTAACTTAAAAGCTAAAATGGCAAACTACTCAAGGTCTACTTTGAGAACCTTGTACACTTCTCAGTTCCAGGTCAGATGAACCTTGTTTTGAGAAGGTGCATTTTTACTCATGCTTTGGTTAGCCTTTCAGCTCTATTAAAGCTGTTGGGACGCTCAGCCAGTGTTGCTCCATGTTATGGTTCAACCCTGCCTGGGTTGCTGGCTCAATCCCCAAGAGGGAACGTGCAGGAGGCAGCCCATGGGTGTTTTTCACTTCTCCCTTCTCTGAAATAAAAAAAACTGGTGGGATGAACTCTGGCCAGTTTGGCTCAGTGGTTATCAAATGTCAGCCTTCAGACTGAAGGGTCTTGGGTTCGATCCCAGTCAGGGCACATGCCGAGTTGTGGGCTCAGTCCCCAGCAGGGGATGTGCAGGAGGCAACTGATCAGTGACTTTCAAGATTGATGTTTCTCTCCCCCTCAATTTGAAAAACCAATAAAAAAATATATAAAAAAAACTGGTGGAATGAGCTGGCCCCTTTATTTACCAAAGTTAAATGAAGCAGATTCAAGTGAAAGATTTAATCACAGGCACTTCCCAGTATACCAAGCCACTGGCACTGGCACCAACAGGTAAGGGAAAGGGGCAGCGTAGGGCCTGGAAGTTTCCACAGCCTGATCCTACCATTTTGCAGGCAAATGTGAAAAAGCAAAAATGCTGCACCACAGAATGAGTGCTGAAAGACATTTGCTTAAGGCTAGTGGGGGTGGTTTGATCAATTTAATGTTTGTCGAATGGGGAGAAGCTTGGTTTTTAACAATTCGCTTCTTGAACTGTCCTCCAGAATGCATTAGTTCAAGAACCGAGGTTCCAATATATTAGACCAATTTCTCAGGGTTTGTGGATTATTCCCATCAGCAACACCTAGGAACCCAAACTTCATTTGTAACAGCTGTGACCCTATGGACCAGGACCCCAAGTGAACTCCGGATACCAGGGAACAACAGGCTGGAGTCCTGGCCCTGCCCTCGCCCCTCCCCCAGTCACAGGCAGACAAGAGATCGCAGTGGCAGTGTGGTTTATTAGTTGGGCCTTAGTACAGGCGCTGGGGCTTGCCCATGGTGCTCTTGATGTACAAAGCCCGAACGTTCTGCCAGTTCTTTTTGAGCAATGACACCAGGAAATTGACAGCTAAGTGGATGTTGTACACAAGCTCATCATCTGTCATCTTCACGTGGCCAACAGCCACCGCCAGACACAGCACCTGTGGGGAGAGGAAGGTCAGTCAGGCTGGTGGCAGACGGCCCGTCCCTCCCAGTGAACAGTGCTTTGGCCCAGGCTCTGACCAGCTTCAACCCTGCGCAGCAACAATCATATGTCCAAAGTATCACAGAAAGGCAAATCAGGGCTCCCATTACCGTGGCCTAACTTACCTTCTTCATCTGGAACTTGATTGTGGACTTCACCTCATCCACTCTGGCCACCATGTTCTCATTGTGGGTCAACAAGGAAGGAAACTTGCCAGCCTTATTCAGGCCGGGGCCCAGGATTCGTGGGATCTGCTTGATCAGAGACTCTGAAGCCAAAAAGGCATCGTACTTCCTGCCTGGTGAGGAGAATAAGCCATTGGGAGGCCAGCCTCCAAACGAACTCTGTAACCCAACCCAGCACAGGCACCAAGCCTGCAACCCCTTCCTCACTCCAGTGTGAGGGTCTCCACCCTCTGAACTCTTACTGGCAAAACATCCCCAGAAAACCTGCTATCAGAAGCCAGGCCGACCCACAATCCACGTGGCAACGGAAAACACTGGCTGATCCTGCCTTCCCACCTTCTCACTACATGACCACTGCAGGCCAGAGACTCACAAGAAATAAATTGGAACTTGAACTAGAAATTCCAGCTCAGAACACCAGCACCCGACTAGTCAACTTAACGGAGATCGTGGGTTTGACCCACACCTCGAGGCCCCCGCCGCCTCTTTCCTGCATAAAATTCAACCCTCGAAGCAAATAGACAAAGAACTTTCCTTAATCAAGTTAGCCAACCGCAGCACAGCCTCTGGTCACAATTCTACCCTCCTCGTCACTTTAAAACCCAAATGGTCTCAGCACCACTTTCCTCACCCCAGAACGGTTCACCCGCCCCCACTCACCCAGCTTCTTGACCAGCTTCTTATTCTTGTTGAGCTTCTTCAGCGCCTCCATGTCCATGTGCGGGATGTCCATGGCCTTGGCCTCGTCGCAGTGCTGCTGGTCCCCCAGCACGCACACGGAGAACTTGGGGCGGGGCGTGGACTTAAGCCTGTGTTTTGGGGACAGAGCAGGTCATGCCCAGCGCTGGGTGTCCAGGCAGGTGGACGGGCCTGGGGCCGCGGCAACCAGAGCCTTACCCAGAGCGTCCGCGTTCGCCAGCAGCTAGTCTGGCTTCTCAAACTAGCCGGCGGGCTCGGCCGAGGCCTCCCCACGCCTCCCCTCTTGTTTTAAGACCCAGGGTGGGGGTCCGCCCGGCCGCGCCTGCCCGGAGCAGGGGGTCCGGACTACCCGGGCTCGCCAGTGCCGCGCGTGTCTGCCCGCCTCGGGCGCAACAGCAGCCTCGAGGGCAGAGCTGGGCACGGGGGCACGGGGGCTGGGTGGGGTCAGAGCGGTGCCAACCTGACGGTGCCCGAGAAGCGTTTGTCCTTCTGAGGGTCATAGTTCTTCAGGCTGACCTGCAGCTCCACCGTCTCCAGAAACCTTAGGGAAAGTGCCAGTTAGCCGGACGCCGGGGCCCCGGCCCGCCCGCGCCCGCCCCCCGCGGACCCGGCTTACTTCCGGCGCTTGCGCTGGTTCCCGTGCAGGACCTCCCGCACCGCCTCGTACAGGGTGTCGCGGGAGACTTTGCTGCTGCAAGAGGGAAGCAGGACCAGCGCTCAGGCCCGGCGCCGCGGGCCGACACCCTCGGCGTGGCCGGAGCGGCCGGGGGCAGGTCGGAGTGGGTCCGAGAACCAGATGCAGGCCCCGCAAAGAGGGCTCCGATGGCGACCGACCGGCAAGTAATGCCCCGCAGCCAAGCAAGGGCAAGGACCCCCGATGCCGCCCGTAGGGTCTCCATCCCCACCAGAGCGTCCGAGGTGCGGATGAGCACGGATAGCGCCCTACATGTCACTCACCTCATGGTTCCTCGCGCCGCAAAAACCGGAAAAGACTAACTCAGTTCGCGCATGCGCTCAAATAGGGGCCTTGTTCTCGCGAGAGATGCCTTGCGGCTTCCCCGGCGAGCGCAGTCGGTCGCTCCACCCCCGGGCGCGCCGCCGTCTGCGTCCGGGGCACCCTCTGACTACCCCGATTTGCGCCAGCAGCTGCCAGGCTGGTAAGGAAGCGGCCAGGTCCAGGGCTGGAGCTTCAGAAACCAAACGGACTGGCAGCGCATTGGAACGGCCGCGGAGAGGGTGATTCCTGCACGTCTGCCGCCAGACTTCCTCGCCCACTTCCTCATGCACCTGCCGCACAAGCAGGCTTCACTCCCGACCTCTCTCCCTCATCTCGCTCTAAGGGGCGGGGGTGGGGGTGGGCTCGCGGCTTCCGAGGGAGTTGCGAGAAGGGACTTGTGGATAAAGCTGTGTTCTTGGCCCTGGAAGCCTGCCGTGGGGAAGAGCTGGAAAGCACTGTGATGGACCTTCACCCCACAGGTGCTTCCTCTGTAACACCCACCGGCCGTTTCCTAGGGACGGGGCGCCTCGCTAGGGGCCATGGGAATATGAAGGTGTCAGACAGACACGGCCAGTGTTGCACACCCCTCTGCCCTTTCCTGTTCAACAGGCCCATCCTCCTCTGCCCACAGTAACCCAGGAGTCTATCCCTACGCAAATGTCTTCCCCCCAAAAGCCTTCCCCAATTTCAGACTCACTCCCACCTCTAAGCCCCGCCCCTACCCAACAGCTAATAGGGTGGGTGGGTGGGTGGTAGCACAGGCTCTCTGGCCCACAGAACTGAATGAACGAACCTCAGAACTGTACCACCTCCCTCAGAACATTTCACTGGGGAAAGATGCCCCTTGTCACTGCGCAGGTGGAGTGGTGGTAGGGGGTGGGGGTGAGTTAATTTTCAACAAATACCAGAGCTAATAGGAAGGCAGCCACAGCTTCCAATGACACGTTATTGAACTCCCTGGTTTTTATTAAATGCCATTGATAAATTATTCAAGTCAGAACAATTCAGGGGATCATAACACGCACTGCAGCACAAGAGATTTGTGCTGAGTGCTAAGCACAGGGGTCCCCTGAGCTCACAGGGGTCTGCTGTGACGTTGCTGGGCTTAGAGGAAAGCTGGTTGCTGAAGCCTGAAGCAGAAGTGACAAGGAGTGAGCCAGGGTCAACAGCCCTTGGAAACCAGCTCATCCAGCCCCCTCAGCCTGTACCCTCCCTGCTGGCTGGGAGGTCAAGACGGCCTCTCTGCAGCCTGGAACAGGGAGGCAGTTGATGCCTGAATGGCCAGGTTCGGCCTTCACCCCGGGCAAGGGTCAGGGTGAGGGCAGAGTGTCCTTCAGGAAGCTGGTGTCCCCGGGTGGAAGGTCAGGGGGCCAGATGTCTCAGGGCGGCCTGCAGGGACTTCCTTAGGAAAGTGGTGTTGAGCGACAGGGGGGCGGCCAGGCTCAGCCTCTGGGTCTCAGTGATCTAGGGAGAAGGAAGAAATGTCAGGACTCCGGCAGCTGATCCCTCCCCTCCCATCCGACCCCCGCCTGTTCAGAAAGGAGAGGAATCCAGGGCATAAGGACCCCCTGAGCAATCGAACCTCATTATTTCGCTGTCTTTGGATTCAGGTGGACCTGGGCCAAACAGTGCCCATCACTAAGTCAGCCACAGTAGTAACAGCTGACAGCTGAGTGCTCCCTATGCGGCAGCACGTTATATGCATTAGTTCATAAACCCTCACAACCCTCCCGGCTACAGACAGGAAACGGCGCTGCCCCCTTCCTCCTGGGCCACACTTCTTCCCTGACCTGTTGCTACAACCTCCTGGCAGGTCTCCACCCTGCATCTTCCCTCCAATCCCTCCTCCTTACAGAGGCCAGAGGTTTCTCTATAAAATGCCAATCTGACCCCGGCACTCCAGCTGAAGGTCCTGGGATAACGCCGAGGCCTCATACTGGAGGCCCCCCTTGCAGGACCCAGCCTCCTATACGTGTTCCTAAGATGTGTGTTCACATATTCATTTTCCAGGGAGGAGCTATAGCTTTCATCAGATCATCAAATGGGCCTGTGACTCCCAAGAAAAGGGTAAAGAGCCAACAGCCAAGAATACCTGGCCTTCAAGATAAGTCCAAGTTCCTCACCATAACTTACAGGGCCCCTCATGAGATGCTATCGTGGCCTGGCAATGTGACCTTGGACAAGTTACATCTACCTGAGTCTCAACTTCCTTATCTATAAAACGAAGCTAATAATAGATCTTCTCATAGTGCTAATGTGTGGAGTAAACTAGGGAGTTAACATATATACGGGCTTAGAACAGTGCCTGAGATGGAGCAGGGGCTATGCAAGTATTAGCTCTTGGTATTTTAGATCTCTAACCTCATCCCCTACCATCAACTCTCATATTTTTAGGCCTCAGCTACAATGAACTACCTGTACCCCTCAGACATTCACTGCATTCACTGCTTACACTGTTTCCTTTGCCTGGAATGCCCTTTCCTCCACCTCAGCCCTTGACTACCACTCACCTTTTAAGAGTCAGGAGGCCTGTCCCAATTCAAAAGGTTTAGTTGCCCCCTCTTGCTCTGTCATCAAAAGCCCCGAGTATACTCTCACCTGACTCCTACCGGATATTACAATGATCGGTTTATCATCTCTCCTTCCCCTCTTGCTAGCCCGGTGTTAGGGGAGAGGGTCAAGTTAAGGACAAGGGCTGTGATATGGTCACTGTTGATTCCCCATATGGCACCTGGCCCACAGCGGTGTTGGCTGGATGAGCAGTCTCACTGCCTAGTCCCAGGCTTGAACTTGTGGGTTCCCTGGCTAACACTGAGGGTTTCCTCCCTGGCAAACAGATGTACGCCGTCATGGCAGGTTCCGGGCAGCAGGGCAGCCCTCATGGCCCCATCAGCACTCACACTGGCCTGATACTTGTTCATCACTGTCAGCATGAGTTTGGCGTAGGCCATGGACGCAGTGGCTGCCGGCCCCTCTTTGCAGAGCCTGTCCATCAGCACATTGAACTGCTCGGGGGTCATCTCCACCTGCACACATCGGGAGGGGGAACAGCAGCACAAGAACAGGCCTTGCATTCACTTCCCAACTCTACCACTTACTAACCGGGTGACCCTATGCAGATCGCTTAACCAAACTAAGCCTCAGTGTCCACCTCTGTAAAATGGGGCTCATAAAATCTCACTCTGAAGCCTGTGAAAAGGATTAAATGAGATAATGCACATAAAGCCTGCGCATAGGTCTCAGAAAATGGCAGCTAGCGTTGCAAAGGCTGATTAGGACCAAGGGAGGCCAAGGATCTCCAGCCTGGATCAGTGCTTGAAGACATACAGAGCGGTACTGCCAGCATTACAATAGCTCTGATAATAATAATAATAATAATAATAATAATAATAATTTAATAAACATTATTATGCACCAGGCACCACTCTGAGCACTTCACACCAGTTATCCCACTTAAACCTCACCCCAGTCTTGTGTGGTGGGTGCTATCATCACTCCCCTTTAGATGAGGGAACTGAGACAGAGAGAGGTTAGGCCAACACCTAAGTTATAAACAGATGAGGCAGAATCTTAAGTACTGGTGGAAAAATTGCCAAAATATAGATTAAGTGAATAAAGCAGAATACAGCGCACTGAGCTTGGTGTTACCATCTATGTAAGAAACAAAGGAAAAGTACATCTATACATGTGTCCTTGTAAAGATAAGCCTCTCTGGGAGGGTCCCCTGAAGCTAACAACACTGGTTCACCCCAGGGAAGGGCATGTAGACGGCTGGGGAATATTTTTCACTATTTCCTCTTTGAGCTTCTAAAATTGTGAAGATATGAATTTATTGCCTATTCAATAAGAAAACTATTTATTTATTTTGTTCATCCTCACCCAGGGATATTTTTCCATTGCTTTTTAGAGAGAGTGGAAGGGAGGGAGAAACATTGATGTGAGAGAGACACACCGATTGGTTGTCTCCCACAAGCAGAGCCATGGATCGAGCCTCTAGCCCAGGTAGGTGCTCTAACCACTGAGCTACTAGCCAGGGGAAGTACAACTTAATTGAAACGCACATATCAGAAAGTTGCTCCCCAAGGCCACAGAGCCAGTAAGAGGCAGAGACAGATTTACCATGGAGTCAGCTCTCTGCTACCAGCCTTTGAGGCCCCAGGACTCTCCCACAGTCATGGGGCACCCTGCTGCCGGGCAGCTGGCCTACCTGCCCCTCCATCACCAAAGGGATCAGACCCGCAGGCGCCCCACACCCGTCCACAGCCCTGCAGCACTTCTCTGTCCTCTTCCCCAAGGCAGCCTGCTCACCTGCCGCTCCAGGAGTGACTGCAGCACCAGGAAAGTCTGCTCCCTCCAGGGCACCTCCAAGATCTGTCTGAGAAGCACAGGCCCCGGTGGGTGAAGCCCAGCCTCCCACTGAAGCCTGGGTATCTACTACTCCTGCCCCAAGGCAGGGCAAGGCCCTGGGGACAGCCAAGATCCCCAGCCACCAGAGGAATGAGTCAGAGCCCCCCTAGTGCTGCCAGCTGCCCAGTAGTCACTGCTGCAGAGCCCATACTCGGTGCTGGGCAGGCCACAACCCAACACCCTGGGAGCTGACAGTGAAGGATTTGGCAGTAGGATATACAAAGACCCCCTGAAAAATAGCCAGGAGTCAAGAATACATGTGTCAGTCGCACATCCTTAGCGCTGCGGCAGCTCAGGGCTTCTGATTGGGCGGCGCTCCACCTGTGGGAGTGCACTGGCCACCAGGGGGCAGTTCCTGCATTGAGCATCTGCCCCCTGGTGGTCAGTGTGCATCATAGCAAGCAGTTGTTCCGCCGTTTGGTCGGTTTGCATATTAGCCTTTTATTATATAGAATGTTGATGTCCAATGGGGTCTTTTCTACTCATTATTTCTGTCTTGAATCTCCAATTTTAATACAAATTTAATAACAATTTCTGAGCATTTACTAAATGCCAAATACTGTACTGAGGTCTTTATATGGATTATCACATTTAACAGCTAGAAAAATCCTACAGAGTGAATATTATTCCCCTTTTTTTCATAAGAAGCTCTGAGAGCC